ATGCCTGAAGATGGTTCAGAAGACGCTCCAACACGTTCCAAGACCGCTCCAAGATGGTTCCAAGTGCCCACAAGAGCATCATTAGAGTGCCCTCAAAAGGCCGAAATGCTTCAAAACCCTAGGGAAAATCAATGTGTTTGGTGTTCTCCCTTTTTCGCTTCCGAAGCCAATCCGAGGCCTCAAGATGGCGCCAAGATGTCCCAACTGGGCCCCAACAGGGGCCCAAGAGAGCCTCAAGACTCCCTCAACGTCCAAGAGCGCTCCAAGAGCGATCCAAGAGGGGTCCAGGAAGCGATTTTAGACAGCCTGGAGGGGCAACGCTAATTAAAGCTCTGCTCTTCTTTGCTAGATTTGCTCCAAGATGCCCCCCCCCAGAGCGCCCCGATGGCGTCTAAAAGGACCCCAGACGCCCAAAAACTGCTTCAAAATAAATTCAATCGAGCGCTCGCGCGGGACGCGAAGCCCAAGATGGCTCCAAGATGGCTCAAGATAGCTCCAAGAGGGGCCCAATAGAGCCTCAGGACGGCTCCAAGAGCGGCCACGAGCGCTCCAAGAGCGATCCAAGAGGGGTCCAGGAGACGATTTTTGGAGCTCCTGGGGGGCGGGCCAAGTTGAGGGACCCTCCTTCGTTGATCGATCTCCTCCTAAATGGCTCCAAGAGACGTCTTGGACTCTCCTCTTGGGCCCTGCGCGCGGGCGGGCGGAGCGCCGCCCGCCCGCCCGCAAGGCCCAAGAGCCCACCAAACCGTTCGAAGATACCTCCAAGACGCCACCAGGGAGGAGGAAGAGGCGGAGGAAGAGGAGGAGGAGGAGGAGGAAGAGGAGGAGGAGAGGGAGGAGGAGAGGAGAAGGAGGAAGACGGCGGAGGAGAAGGAGGAAGAGGGGGAGAAGAACAGCTGCCGATCATCGGCGCTCTTCGTTCGAGTGCCTGGTGTAGGATGGGCTGGTGGGGATACTTCTTTTTTTACAGCCGCAGGCGGAAGCGCCAACGGCAGGCGGTCACGGTCGGGCTGCGGCCGCGACAAGGGGGCGGGCGCGCGCGGGGCCGCGGTCAGGCGGCAGGCAGCAGCGACCCAGGGCGTCTGAGCCAAAGCGTGCAGATCCAGGGAGTCTGCAAAGCAGCCCCTGAAAGGAACATGCAACGGCGCATCCAGGGAGTCTGACAACAAACACAGAGGAAGCCGAGCGCAGCCAAAATGGCGCGTACAGCGTTCCCAACAGATCGAGTACGAACGGGTGGGGAACGGTTCCGAGCGAGACGTCAATCCAAGGAGTCGCTGGTGGGGATACGCGAAGCGTCAAGAATTGACACCGCTCACGCAGATCGGCGGGGTCAGTGTCCAAAAACACATTGGATTTGCCACATGTCTGAAATTCGGTGGCATCCCTCACGCAGATCGGCGGGGTCAGGGTCCAACAACATATGGGATTTGCCACATTTCTGAAATTTGCTGGCACCCCTCACGCAGATCGGCGGGGTCAAAGTCAAAAAACACAAGGGATTTACCACATTCCTGACATTCGGTGGCACCCCTCACGCAGATCGGCAGGGTCAGGGTGCAAAAACATATGGGATTTGCCAAATGTTTGAAATTCGCTAACGCCCCACACACAAATCGGCGGGGTCGGGGTCCGAAAATCAAGGGGATCCTCGACGTTTCTGAAATTCGGTGGCGCCCCTCACGCAGATCGGCGGGGTAAGTGTCCAAAAACACATGGGATTTGCTACATTTCTCAAATTCGATGGAACCCCTCACGCAGATCGGCGGTGTCAAGGTCAGAAAACAAATGGGATTCTCAACATTTCTGAAATTCGGTGGCACCCCTCACGGGATCGACAGGGTCAGTGTCCAAAAACACATGGGATTTGCCACATGTCTGAAATTCGGTGGCATCCCTCACGAAGATCGGCGGGGTCAGGGTCCAACAACACATGGGATTTGCCACATGTCTGAAATTCGCTGGCACCCCTCACGCAGATCGGCGGGGTCAGGGTCAAAAAACACAAGGGATTTACTACATGTCTGACATTCGGTGGCACCCCTCACGCAGATCGGCAGGGTCAGGGTGCAAAAACATATGGGATTTGCCAAATGTTTGAAATTCGCTAACGCCCCACACACAAATCGGCGGGGTCGGGGTCCGAAAATCAAGGGGATCCTCGACGTTTCTGAAATTCGGTGGCGCCCCTCACGCAGATCGGCGGGGTAAGTGTCCAAAAACACATGGGATTTACCACATTTCTCAAATTCGATGGAACACCTCACGCAGATCGGCGGTGTCAGGGTCAGAAAACCAATGGGATTCTCAACATTTCTGAAATTCGGTGGCACCCCTCACGCGGATCGGCGGGGTCAGGGTCCAAAAACACATGGGATTTGCCAGTTGTTTAAACATCCGGCGGCACCCCTCACACAGATCGGCGGTGTCAGGGTCAGAAGACCAATGGGATTCTCATCATTTCCGAAATTCGGTGGCTCCCCTCACGCAGATCGGCGGGGTCAGGCTTACAAGACAAGTCAATTGGTTTTGCCGATTACGAATCAGCCTCGCATGATGTTCCGATACTGCTTCACGACGGCCCCCAGGCCTCATGACATAGCTCTCGCATAGCGCATTCTCCGAGATAGGAGGCCGGCGGCAGGGGGCGAAGCCCTTGCGGATTAAAACGGGAGGCCGGAAGAAATCTGATCCGCGGACCCTGGAATCCACCCGTGTTAAGATTCTACGGGGGAAGGGGGCTCGGTCATGAACTTCCAACTCATCATCGCCATATGCACCTCACGAGGAAAATCTCTCGTCCTGCGTAAGTGTGTCTATATATATGTATATATATATATATATATATATATATATATATATGTCTTTGGGGGCCTCTTAGAGAAACATTTGAAGCCGTTTGGGTGCCGTATTGGGGCATTTTGGCACCTCTTTGGAGCTTCTTGGGGGCCTCTTGGGGCCTCTTGGGGGTCTCGTGGGGGTCCTCTTGGGGGCTTCCTGAGGCCTCTTGGGGCTGCCTGGGGGTCTCTTGGGGCCTCTTGGGGGCATCTTGGGGCGGTGAGCTTGATTTTTCAATTCGCGTTCCCTCTCTTGGGCCCCTTTTGGGGCCTTCTTGGGACTCTCTTGCGCCGCCCTGGGCGGCTCTGGGGCCGTCTCGGGGCTCTCTTGGGCCGTCTTGGGGCCCTCTTGGGCCGTCTTGGAGCGGTTTGGGGGGCCTCCTCTTGGGCGCTGCCGTAGCACCGGAAACACGAAACAGCGAGAACGCAACAAACATGGACAAAAAACAATGACAATCTACGATTTTGCCCTCTCGGGGCGCTCTTGGGCGGCATCTTTAAGGCCTCTTGGGGCGTCTTGGGGGACTTCTGGGGCAGTTTAAAACGCATCGCGCGGCCTCTTGGGGGCCTCTTGGGGCCTCTTGGGGGCATCTTGGGGCGGAGAGCTTGATTTTTCAGTTCGCGTTCTCTCTCTTGGGCCCCTTTTGGGGGCCTTCTTGGGACCCTCTTGCGCCATCTTGGGCGGCTCTGGGGCCGTCTCAGGGCTCTCTTGGGCCGTCTTGGGGCCCTCTTGGACAGTCTTGGGGCGATTTTGGGAGCCTCTTGGGCGGTGCCGTAGCGCCGGAAACACGAATCAGCGAGAATGCAAAAAAACATCGACCTAAAAACAATGACAAACAACGATTTTGTCCTCTCGGGGCGCTCTTGGGCGGCATCTTAAAGGCATCTTGGGGCGTCTTGGGGACTTCCCGGGCAGTTTAAAACGCATCGTGCGGCCTCTTGGGGGCCTCTTGGGGCCTCCTGGAGGCTTCCTGGGGGCCTCTTGGGGCCTCTTGGGGGCATCTTGGGGCGGAGAGCTTGATTTTTCAGTTCGCGTTCCCTCTCTTGGGCCCCTTTTTGGGGCCTTCTTGGGATTCTCTTGCGCCATCTTGGGCGGCTCTGGGCCGTCTCGGGGCTCTCTTGGGCCGTCTTGGGGCCCTTGTAGGGGCCTCTTGGGCCTTCTTGGAACGGTTTTGGGAGCCTCTTGGGCGGTGCCGTAGCGCCGGAAACACGAAACAGCGAGAATGCAAAAAAACATCGACCCAAAAACAATGACAAACAACGATTTTGTCCTCTGGGGGCGCTCTTGGGCGGCATCTTAAAGGCCTCTTGGAGAGTCTTGGGGGCCTCCAGGGCAATTTAAAACGCATCGTTCGTCGCCAGAGACCCCTGGACGGCGTCTTGGAGGTGTCTCGAGACCGTCTGGGGCCGCCAGGATTGCTGTCTGAAGGCTTCCCGGGGTGACTCTAGGCCTCCTAGAGGCGGGCCCGGGCCCGGGTGCCCACATTTGCGGTCGAGGTTCCGGCCCTCGGCCCTCGGCCCCTGGGCCCGGTGCGCCGTTATATGTAAAACTAAACGTGTGTAGGGCGCATGTCAATACACATAACCTCTACAACTGCGGATAAGAATGGATCGCCTGGGCTGCCTTGTCGCGGCTGCGGGGCTTGAGCGCCAACGTGGAGAGTCCCGCCGCGAACGCTGATTTCTCCGAACACGCAACCGGCCGCAGGCGCAGATTTGTTTGCAAAGCCATATGGGTGGGTGACGGGGCGGGGCGTCGGCGTTGCGCGAGGCTCGAGCGCCAATGAAAACCGCCGCCGCCACAGGCGCCGACTCTTTCCTCTTCAACGCAACCATACCGCCGCAGGTGGAAATATTCTTCAGTTCAGCGTGGGTGGGTCGCGGTTGGGTCGTGGGCGCGAGTTGCGGGCGTGGGTCACGGGTGGGTCGCGGGTGGATCGAGGGTGCGTAGCGGGAGGGTCGCGAGTGGCTCGATGGAAGGTCGCGGGTTGGTCGCGGGTGTGTCGTGGGTCGCGGGTGGGTCGCGGGTTGGTCGCGGGGGGGTCGTGGGGTGGATCGCGGAGTGGATCGCGGGCCGGGCCGCCGGGGTAGCGACAACAATGAAACAACGTGAAACAGCACCACGGAATCCCTTTTCAGCCACGCACCCAGGGACAATGTAACATTGTTCGGCCACCCTCACTCTAACATAGCAACGTAAGGTGCACGCTCGCCGGAATGATAACACCATAACGCCACGATTGTTCGACACTGCGACAAAACAAAAATAAGGTACGTAGCCGAAGTGCTTTGAGCAGACAAGCCAGCACCTTCGAGCGAACTGCGATCGCAGATTAAAAGCTTCAAACACGACCGACGTTGAATTACAGATGTGAGTTGACCCCCCAGGGGTTGAAACTGAATCTTCCTCAGCCTCCGCACGCCCTGGTGCAATCGTCGACGAGGCGCCGTCCGTGAAGCGCATGGGCAAGTTCTTGCTGGAGGCTCTTCTTCTATCCCCCACGATGGGACGCTGGCGGCCCGCTGTGCCCTGGATCACAGGTGGTGAATCTCGGCTGGGCCCGCTGGCATGCCCTGGGCGAGGGGACCAGCGCAGCCTGTCGGGGAGGTAGCGGCCCTGGCGCCAGCGACAGCGGCCAGCCGCTCTGCTACTGCCGCCTCCTGGGGGATCGGAGCCTCTCGCGCCGAGGATCCCTCGGGCAGAGCCTCGGGCGCCCGCGCGGGCGAGCGCCTCTTTGAAGGCGCAACCCCTCTGGAGCCCGCCGCGCCTTTACCGGCGGGCTCCGCGCCGTCCCCTGGCCTCGCGCGCTGGGGCGGGGCCTTCGGCGTGGAGGTCTTCGGCTGGCATGCGCCCGAATTGCTCGAGCTGCCCGCGGCACGGCGGGCGGGGCTCGGGCTGCCATCGCGGGCCTCTCGTGGACGAACAACACACGCCCGCACAAATTGGGGGGGTCGGAGGGAGGAGGATTGGCGATGGATGCGGGCGCGGATCTTCGGACCACGGTGGAGGCTCCCGTTCGAGCGGGGAGCCCGGCTCGACCACACGCACCCGTAGCCCCCTCCCGTCCCCCCAGTGGGGGTACATGGGTGTGCGTTGCTCGTTCGGGCCTTGGCGTCCTTGCTCGGGGCGAGGGACGCCCTCGGCAGCGGGCGCACCAGGTCCGCGGCCGTGGTGCCCTGAGCCTGCGCCTTCGGGCCCCCGTGGGCCTGCCCCCCGAGCGCAGCCCTGGGACCAGCGGCGCGCAACGACTGGAGCTCGAGCTTGAGCTCCTCGACCCAGCCCGGGGCCGCGGCGATGTCTGGGCCGAAGGGGGGCCCTTCGCTAGGCTTCTGCGGGCAGCCCTGCCCCGCGTGGTAGACCGCGACCGGGATGGCGCCGCCGACCCGGTGCTCTCTGAGTGCCGCGCCCACCGCCTCTCGCACGCACGCCCCGATGATGCTCACGAGCTGGCCGTCACAGTCTGACTGGACATCCCCCCTGAGGGGCGCCTGGTCCCAGGAGGCGCTCGAGCCTCTGGGGGACAGCCCCGCCGACTTCACGGGCGGCGTGCCATCGGCGCTGCCGAGGCCGCCCGACTCTGGAGCTCCTGGCGTGGCCACAGGCGCGCTCGAGCTCCGAAGCCGGGACTTCTCGAGCTGGTCTTTCAGGTCGCCCACCTCCTTCACCATGTCGGCCATGGCGCGCTCTGACACACGCAACTGGTGTCGCATCGATTCAACCATTTTCTCGACCCGCTTGATCTCGATGGGGGCCTTCGATATGCAAACCTGCCAGATCCCGTTGCAGAACTCCTCGATGTCGACCTCCCCCGAGCCGTCCACGTCGAGCGCGCGGAACAGCTCCAGCGGGTCCGACACTCCCAGCATGCTGGCGAGCATCTGCTTGTCCTCTTCGGCGATTCCCCCGATCTCGTCCATGGTGACCTGTCCAGAGGCGTCCTCGTCAAGCCGAACGAAGAGCTTGCGAAGCTCTTTGCACATCTTTCTCTTTTCCTTCTCCTCATGTTTTTTCTGTATCTCCTTGTCTGCCATGGCCTGCTCGAGCGCGCTGTTGACGACAACGGCGGTGACGAGATCCGCCACGGGAAGAAGATGGCGAATGAAATACCTGAACTAAGGAGTAGAACCAGGCCACTTCCCTTGTTTCCGCTCGAGGATGGTGCACTTCCAGCGTGGCAGCTAATGCCTAACTCCCCTTCCACGCGTGCCCGCTTGGGGATGGTGCACTTCCCGCATGGCAGCCAACACATGAACCCCCATTCAACGCGTACCCGCTCGAGGATACTGCACTTCCCGCATGGCAGCTAATGCCTGAACCACCCTTCCACGCGTGCCCGCTCGAGGATACTGCACTTCCAGCATGGCAGCTAACAGGTAATGCCTGAACCACCCTTCCACGCGTGCCCGAGTGAGGATGGTGCACCTCCCGCATGGCAGCTAATGCCTGAACCCCCTTCCACGCGTGCCCGCATGAGGATGCTGCACTTCCCGCATGGCAACCAATGCATGAACCCCCCTTCTACGCGTGCCCGCTCGAGGATGGTGCCCTTCCCGCATGGCAGCTAGTGCCTAACGCCCCCTTCTACGCGTGTCCGCTCGACGATGGTGCCCTTACCGCATGGCAGCCAATGCCTGAACGCTTATTTCATGCGCGCCCGCTCGAGAATTGCGCACTTCCCCCATGGCTGCTACCTCCTAGACCCCTTATCCCACGCGCACCCGCTCGAAGATCATGCTCGTCCCGCATTCCCAGGTGCTGCTCCCATGAGCTCCAGGGCCTCCCAAGCCACGATGCTTAGTAAAAACAATGGATCTGCGTCCCGACCGAGCTTCTCAGACGGCCCGCGCGGCCACCAATGACAGTTAGATGGCCCACTTTGCCTCGAAGACGGCCCAAGATGCTCCCAATGCGGCCGAATGTTGTTTCAAGACGGCCCAAGATGCCTCCAAGAGGGCCCAAAAGGGCCACAAGTTGACCTCCAACAAGGTCCGAAGAAGCCAACTTTACAGATTCCTCCACCGGCTTTCAATGATGTTCGCACTCTCACCGTGTCGGGCTGCCGTCAAGTCAAGACGGCCCGCACCCACCATATACACGGCCAAGAGGGCCCCAAGACGGTCCAAGAGAACCCCACGCTGGAGTAAGAGGACCCACAGACGGCCCAGAAAGGGCCCCACGGGACCCCCAAGACTGCCTCACAGGAGGCCAAGACAGCCTCAAGACGGCCCAAACGAGTTTCCTCCTCCTTCTCCTCCGTCTTAATCCTCCTCATCATCATCGTCTTTCTCCTCGTCCTACCCCCAAGATGGTCCCACTAGGTCGAGCATGGCTCACGATCGCCTCCGACAGACCTCCAAGAAGATGCCTCAATACAGCCTCGAGCTGGTCCAATACAGCAAAGCATGGCTCAGGATAGCCTCCGGCAGCCTTTAGGCCTCCAAGAGGCCTAAAGAAAGCCTCCGATCGTGTCTGGATGAGCTGGTGGGGATACGCGGGGCATCAAGATTGTCCTCCTCCTCCTCCTCCTCCTCCTCCTCCTCGTCATCATCATCATCCTTGATCGTAATCGTCATCGTCATCATGATCATCATGATCATCATCATCAGCAGCATCATCATCAGCATCATCATCAGTACCAGCATCGCCATCATCATCAGCATCAGCATCAACTCCCGCAGCAGCAGCATCAGCATCAGCATCAACATCATCACGCGCATCATGATCATGATATTGTACTGTCGTTATCAACATCGTAACCATCATCAGCGGCAGCATAATATCATCATCATCATCATCATCATCCTCATTCCCATCAGCATCATCATCATGACCATCAGCATGATCATCCCCAGCTCTATTCTCTTACTCAGCCAGACACCAGGATGTATAAGAAGCCGCGCCTCCGCGAGTCCAAGAACGATGGAAGCGGCCACTGAGGCCGCGACTGAAGTCGTCAAGAACCTGCTGCGTGAAACCAGTCGCAAGCTGAAAACTCTTCAGGGTGGTGGAGGGGGAAGGGAGGTGAAGCTTGAACCACCGCAATTGCAGCGAACAGAACGAATTACTGTTCGGGTCGACTGGGGGTCAAGCGGCTGAGCACCGAAGCGAGACACAGGATTCACTTACGAGTACAGCCCATCCCCAGCTCTATTCTCTTACTCAGCCAGACACCAGGATGTATACGAAGCCGAGCCTCCGCGAGTCCAAGAACGATGGAAGCGGCCACTGGGGCCGCGACTGAAGTCGTCAAGAACCTGCAAGCTCTGTTATCTTCCAAAACAATTCACTGGCCAGAGCCGTATATTCTTTACTGCATGAAGCGCCCAAAGGAGTCACCGATACCTTTGGCCCATGAGTTGTAGCACGCAGTGGCAATAGCTTTGCATAGCCGCTTTGGGTATGGCTCAGCTAATGTTGTGTAGAACTGACCAGCAGGATCTTTGCCCTGGAGCTGCTGATGCGCCCGACCCGTGCGACTGCATATGCCCCGCTTGCTGCCCACACATCTCGCGTGTGCGAGCTCGAACAAGTCAAGGTTGGTGGACAGGAAACACGCGCTTTTCTTCCAAGGGGCTCCCCATTGACAGAAATCGGTAGTAACAACAGTAACACCACGAGATCGGGAAAGGCGACGCACAGCCGGGTAAATCCACAGTCGACTGCGGGCGGGATTCTCGAGGGAGCAGGGGATCTGAGCCCGCTTGCATTCACGTACAATAGACGCCGAGAACAACATCAGGATGTTACCAATCGCGACCTTCTCTTGTTCGGCCTGGGACAGCCCGCCGAGGCCCATCGGCTCCGAGTCGCTTCGGAGCCGAGGGGGCCCAGGGGGGATGTCTCGGGCGCGGCTGAAGGATGAGCAAGGCGTGGCCACATGGGGCCCAACCGCCAGCCCGCCGTTCACCCAGCCGAGGGGAAGGCGGCGATTGCGTTTGCACCTAAGGTCGTAGTTCTCGCCCAGGCTAATGTCCCAGAGTAAATCCGCCACCCCCGCGCTCGAGATCGCATCAGAGAGGCGCCCGCCCCCCGAGAACGCCTCGACGAAGACGCGCTGTCGGAGGCGAAGAGTGCAGCTCAGCGCAGGCCAGACGCGGCTGCGCTCAGCAGCCTCGCGCAGAGCTCTTCGCGGGCCTGCTGGGCGGGCGTGGGCCCGAGTGCCCCCTGCGCGAGCCTGCTGCCCTTCACGTGGCGTCTCCCCGCGGGCCACGACAGCCAGCGGCCGCGCCGGCGCGCGATCGCCAAGCGGCGGTGCCCCGAGGCGAAGTCATGCGAGGCGTCGCCGTGTCGCAGCATGTACATGAGGCCGCCGCCCAGGGCCGCGCGGGCCCCCCGCGCCTCCACGAAGTCCTCCGCCACGGCGGCCAGCGCCCCGACGGCCGAGACTGGGGCCACAAAGCCCTCGGCCCTGATGTGGAGCGCCTCCCCAGGCCGCAGGCACAGCGCGGAGGTGGGGAGCTCCACGATGGCACTCTGGACGCGGTGTCGAGCAGCTCCATCACCCCCATCGTCTCGCCCATGTAGGGCGTGGGCGAGCGACAGCGCGGTGGCGCCAACCTGTGGAAGCCCGGTAGAGCGAGGCGGCGACGCGGCATCCGAACGCCCGACGCCCTGTTTAGGCCCGCGAAGAACGCTCCCGTTGCGATGGCCCACGAGCCCGCGCACAGGTCCCTGCCGTCGAAGTGCAGCACGTTGCGCCCCTCCGCGATCGCCACGTCCACCTGTTCACTGGCGCCAGGGGCCGCCCGCTCGAGCACTTCAGGGAGCTGCGGGCGATCTCCTGGTAGCGGTTGCGGGGCCTGCACTGGATGGCAGCTGCCCTGAGCACCGCCATGCCGGGCACCCACGCGGCCGCAGCCGCCCGCGTGGCACCCTGCGCGGCCCGCTGATGGGCCACGCGGCGCAGCGGTCCGCTCGAGGCCAGAGGGGCGGGCGAGGCGGCCGGCCGCCGCAGCGCCCGCTGCTGCTGGCGCAGCGCGGCTCCGCGGCTGCGCCCCGCGCAGGCCGGCTCGAGGCACCTGCAATCGCGCCCCCAGGGCGCGGAGCTGGTGCACTGGGCCCCCTCGCCTCCGCCTGGGGAGTCCCGGGCAGGGGCCCTGTGCACGCCGCCAGGCTCGGCAAGGCCGCGGCGCCCGGAGCCGGCGCCTCGCGCGCGCGCGCATCTCGCGCGGCCAGCGCGGTCGGAGCCGCTGGGCGCCAACGGCCCCTTGAGGGGCCGTCGGCCGCATTCCACTCCGAGGGGGGCCAGCGGTAGCGGAGAGAGGGCCCCGTCGCCAGGGAGAGGGCGGCGATGCTCTGTGTGACGTCCATCATGGCCCGGCTCCCACTGCGGCTTCTAGAGACAGCGCCGGCCGCGCTCATAATCCCCGAGGACGACCAGACGTTTGCCGCGGCGTTGGCAATTGCGTAGGAGGTGCCTATAGCCGTCAAGGGTCGCGCGAGCCTCCAGGACAGGGATGCTCTCGCCTTTCTTACGCCACTCGAACCTCCCCACCACCTTCCAGTCCTGCTCGATCATCTCCCCCGGAACTTCAGGAAACTCGCCTTCACGAGCTAACCTCCCGAACCCGTAGACATCGCCGGGGGCGTGGCCCCCAGCGAAAGGGGCCTCCGGACGTCCGGAAGCACCGTGATCAAGAACTGGATCCTGAGTGTCGTCGGGGCCGTACATCCAAGGGGCAGCGCTCTCCGTGGACCCGTCGAGGGCCGCCGCAGCAGCGGCATTCCGAGCCCGGCGACCAGCGCGGCGACGAGGGCCCCCAAGGGCGCCCCCCCGACCCCAGCGCCACCTCTCAGACGCACGCCCAACCTGAGAGCAGAGAGGGGCCCCACAGCGGCTTGAACAAGCGCCGAGGCCCCACTCGCTCGCGTCGACCACGATAACTTCGCCACCCCAAGCAGCCCGCAGATCACGATAAAGGAGCGGAGAGATCGAGTCCCAAACGCTCAACTCCCGAATAACGGAGGGCCACAGGGTAGAGTCCGCGCCATAGTGCTCGCGAATAAAACCATAGCAACTCCAAAACAAACGATACAGACCCTGTTCGCCGGAAGTCCTGTTCGCCGGATCCTGTT